CTCGCGTGCTTCTCTTACTTTATGTACTGTGATGAACAAAACAGAAAAATTCGGATTCATGATACTTGTAGTTTATCAGTAATCTTTGTCTCAGAAAAAATATTTATATTTTTTCCCAAGATGACTAAGAAATATGACTTCATTTTTTACAAAGTATTGAATTAAAATATGTTTAGATATGAGAAACAGCTCAAAACTGCTCAGAAACTTGGAATTAGAAAAGCGCTAGTTCTCGCATTGGGCGCTGCACTTCCGCTTTCTCTCTTGTTCTTCGCAACGGCAGTTTGTTTCTGGTAGGTTTTACAGGTTTGAGTAAAATTCTATTAAATAGAGAGTTTGTTAGATACATTCGGAAATTCGAGGTTTGGAACTAAACTGGTCCTTGAGGGCAGAATGACGCCGGGATCAATTTTCGGTGTTTTCTGGGCAGTACAAGTTGGCACTCGAAGATTGGGTGAGAGTCACTCTCAGATGGGAGCGATTATCAGTGCGAAACTAGCTATTGCTGATATTTTTGCTATTATTGACAGAGTAAGGAACTTTTTGAACTACAAATTTCATTAAATAATGTATGTAAAGTAAAAATTCTAGACGCCAGAAATAGACTGTACGCAAGAGGATGGCTTCAGCAAAGAAAAAATTAAAGGAGTAATAAGCTTTAATAACGTTCACTTTTCATATCCCTCACGACCTTCAGTGGAAGTACTCAAAGATGTCAGCTTTGAAGTAAGAAGCTTATTTTATCTTTCTCAGACTAATGAGGCATCCTTGTGTAATAAATTTTCAGGTAAAACGTGGAGAAAGCATTGCATTAGTTGGACACTCCGGATGCGGAAAATCTACTATTGTTTCACTGCTACTGCGGTACTACGAGCAGAATTCTGGAATGGTAAATAGTTACACTGATCTTTATATAAGCTTAATGTATTGCCTACAAAATCATTTAAATTGGAGAAAAGGAAAAGAACTGTGAAAGTTCGCTTATTAGGCAGGTCAATCAGACAGCGAGTTCCAACGTATTTTCAGTCATTTGATATTTTGCCCTGCCAAAAGTCATAGCCCGCTCCAGTCTATTCTTCGGAGGCTTGAATGATTAACAAACATAAAGAATTTTTTGGGATAGTCATTCATTTTTTCTTGAATTCCCGGTTAGGTATGCTGCTCTCGTATCTTCCAAAACGTTCCTAATCCTTTCTCTGTGCGGCAATCGTTCCGTCCAAAACCATATTCATTT